AGATAAGTGCATTTTATCGGGGATCTCAAAGGTGCCCTGGTTGTTATAGGTTGAAATGGATCACGTCTGATTAGGAGGCAGAGGAAAAATGTTCTTTGGTATCTTTTGTCTCCCCAGATAGCGTTTGGAAACAGTTCCTCCCATCATCAATCTGAGCGAGACAAGCAGAGTAGCAAACAGTGTGTTCTGCTTCACTTCTCCCCACAAAGACAGGCAGACACTAGCTTCCTCTTGATGGGTTTGCTGCCCCGGCTCCCCGCCCTCCCAATAGTCTGTGAAACTGTGGGGGTGCGTTCAAAATAACCATGCCATTATGGTAGCACAGTTTAGAGTATTCACCATTCTCATCAGCTGAGCGGCAATAAAAAAATGTGCAGCTCTGAAGCACTTGGTAGAATCACCACCCTGTTATATCTTAAGTACTTATATAAAATCCACTCAAAGTCACTTCTAGAGGAATTTTCTCTTGGCGAGATTAGCCGGTCTGAGGCCATTTGAATCTAGCGGAGGTTGGCTGGCTCTTTAATCTGCAGCAAGGCTCATCCCAGATGGACTGTGAGGACTAACTGGAGTTTATAAAGTGCTGTCGCCTTATCCTGTGCCGCCACAGTGACAGTGTGATTACAAGGAACCACATTTTCCAGAAACCAAGTGTATCCCTAACATTTCAGAGTGTGTCTTTTGCAACTAAATTCAGATTTGCATAGCGATTTAGTCGTTTCCACTTACATCTTTTGTGTATTAACTAATACAACCACCTGTGCTCAAGTCATTTAAAAAGTCTAAACAGGTGCAAGTGAACATCTTTTTTTTAGTAGGGTTGTTGTGTATTTCATGTGAACAAGAGGGCACTATTTACTTTTTGAAACTTTTTATTAATCTCAAGTCAGTGTCTCTTTCTGCTACATGTACATTTTGAATTCAACACTTCTTTTTACACTTCTTCTAGTCATTTGAAATACTTGTTATGAGTAGTTTAAGGGGCCCTAATATCTCTCTACTTTAAAGAGTCCTCTCCTGCTGATGTTCAGGTGTATATCAGTATGTAGTGTCTCTACTTTAAAGAGTCCTCTCCTGCTGATGTTCAGGTGTATATCAGTATGTAGTGTCTCTACTTTAAAGAGTCCTCTCCTTCTGATGTTCAGGTGTATATCAGTATGTAGTGTCTCTACTTTAAAGAGTCCTCTCCTGCTGATGTTCAGGTGTATATCAGTATGTAGTGTCTCTACTTTAAAGAGTCCTCTCCTGCTGATGTTCAGGTGTATATCAGTATGTAGTGTCTCTACTTTAAAGAGTCCTCTCCTACTGATGTCCAGGTGTATATCAGTATGTAGTGTCTCTACTTTAAAGAGTTCTCTCCTGCTGATGTTCAGGTGTATATCAGTATGTAGTGTCTCTACTTTAAAGAGTCCTCTCCTGCTGATGTTCAGGTGTATATCAGTATTTAGTGTCTCTACTTTAAAGAGTCCTCTCCTGCTGATGTTCAGGTGTATATCAGTATGTAGTGTCTCTACTTTAAAGAGTCCTCTCCTGCTGATGTTCAGGTGTATATCAGTATGTAGTGTCTCTACTTTAAAGAGTCCTCTCCTGCTGATGTTCAGGTGTATATCAGTATGTAGTGTCTCTACATGTCTCCATGCTCTAATGTTCAAAAAGCTCTTTATTTCTCTCATACTGTCTGTGCTGCAGCACCTCTTTTCACCCTCTGTCTGAAACCAGAGCCCAGTCTGCTCTGATTGGTTAGCTGGCCGGCTCTGTTGTGATTGGTCAACCGCTTACAGATGTCCCGCCCCTTAGCCTACCACATAGAATGTGTTGGAGCGCTAGCCAATAGAAGTGCGAGTGTTACAAAGTGATTTTGTCCAGGAAGTAAACAAAGGAGTGTGAAGAAATCAGTATTTTGCAAGGCTTTCAAAGCTGCTTAACAAACACTGCACTTATACTGTATCATCATTTCTAGATGGAAATATATCTGCTTATCTCCACCGGCTCCTGTAAATGTTGATTTACGTTGCCATTTATCGGAACGATCCACAAATACGAGGGGCTTGTGCATTGGAACATTTCCCATGACATGTGTAAAAATACATGCAGAGGAATTTGCATATGGATCTATTTCTTTCATTAACAACTCGGTAATTGGTAGATCAACTTAGCGTTTTTCAAAGGAAATGTATTTGTGAACGACACCTTTATACATGTAAGTGAATTATTTTGGGACTTGTTTTACTGTGCATTTTTCACACAAATCAACACATTCAGGAAGCTTGTGACTTTAAATACTTCTTGTGTATCATAAAACACAATGCACATATAGATGCAGAGGAATTTGCATCTGTATTTGTGTCTCTGATTAAATACTCCTAACCCTAACCCTCGTTTTTCTACGCTGGTCGACGGGTGCACATGCACTACAGCGGGTCAACACGTTTCCATGAGTAGAAACACGCTGCAGCCTCAAAACGATGCCAATATAAACACACAAACCTCTCATAACTGTCAGTGTTTGTCAGTATATCTGAAATGACTAGGTTAGCTACGTTAGCTAGCTAGCTTACAGCATATCTGCAGTGACATCAGAAGGAGTCATGTGATCACATTGTTCAAATGAGACCATCAAACATTTTAGGTGAGTTTCCAACAACAGAGGCAGTTGTTCAGCTTTATCATCCTGAACGTTACCAAGCGCTCCGTCCCAGCTGTGTGCGTCACTCTTTAGTGTCCCCTGGTCTCCCAGCTGTGTGCGTCACTTTTTAGTGTCCCCTGGTCTCCCAGCTGTGTGCGTCACTCTTTAGTGTCCCCTGGTCTCCCAGCTGTGTGCGTCACTCTTTAGTGTCCCCTGGTCTCCCAGCTGTGTGCGTCACTCTTTAGTGTCCCCTGGTCTCCCAGCTGTGTGCGTCACTCTTTAGTGTCCCCTGCTCTCCCAGCTGTGTGCGTCACTCTTTAGTGTCCCCTGGTCTCCCAGCTGTGTGCGTCACTTTTTAGTGTCCCCTGGTCTCCCAGCTGTGTGCGTCACTCTTTAGTGTCCCCTGGTCTCCCAGCTGTGTGCGTCATCCTTTAGTGTCCCCTGGTCTCCCAGCTGTGTGCGTCACTCTTTAGTGTCCCCTGGTCTCCCAGCTGTGTGCGTCACTTTTTAGTGTCCCCTGGTCTCCCAGCTGTGTGCGTCACTCTTTAGTGTCCCCTGGTCTCCCAGCTGTGTGCGTCACTCTTTAGTGTCCCCTGGTCTCCCAGCTGTGTGCGTCACTCTTTAGTGTCCCTTGTCTCCCAGCTGTGTGTGTCACTCTTTAGTGTCCCCTGCTCTCCCAGCTGTGTGCGTCACTCTTTAGTGTCCCCTGGTCTCCCAGCTGTGTGCGTCACTCTTTAGTGTCCCCTGGTCTCCCTGCTGTGTGCGTCACTCATTAGTGTCCCCTGGTCTCCCTGCTGTGTGCGTCACTCTTTAGTGTCCCCTGGTCTCCCAGCTGTGTGCGTCACTCTTTAGTGTCCCCTGGTCTCCCAGCTGTGTGCGTCACTCTTTAGTGTCCCCTGGTCTCCCTGCTGTGTGCGTCACTCATTAGTGTCCCCTGGTCTCCCTGCTGTGTGCGTCACTCTTTAGTGTCCCCTGGTCTCCGTTGTGTTTTGAGCTTCTTGCAGCGTTTGGTTTCTGCAACTTTTAGTAAACGCTGCGCATGTTTCCTCAAGTTGCTGAATGTTCTCTAAACGCTGCAATGTGTTTTTCGCACATTTGTATTTTTATACTATATTTGTATTGTTTTTCAAACTGCAGCACGTTTCTCGTAATGGAAGTGCGTTTTGGGCCGTTGTAATGCTTTTGCCACCGTACTTTTTTACCAAAAATTCAGCATGTGACTTGCAAAATGTCAATGACAATGCAAGAATAAATGTAGTATATGTAATAGTTAAGAGACTGAAGTCAATCCTACTTTTTTATCCACTTTCTGACTTTGTCAATCCTGGGACTTGAACCGGCGGCCCTTCCAATTATCGTTGTACTTCCTGTCCGACGCGCTGCCATCCTCCCACGAGTCCCACGCCCTTACAAAGTTTCACCTTTCCCATTTTTTCCCTCTCCTTGTGTGATGATTTATTAAATTGCCTTTAAGTAAGACTGCAGATTAATTAAAACACAGTCAATTTAATTTCCCGGCGTCATATATAAAATTCTCCGTGGTAATTGAATCCCCCCTTTACTCCACTTCTTTTTCTATAACAGGAGAAAGATTACTGAGAATCACAGTGAGGAAGAAGAGGAGGTGAATGCACATTTGTCTGCTGCTCAGTGTGTGTGTGTGTGTGTGTGTGTGTGTGTGTGTGTGTGTGTGTGTGTGTGTTTTATTCTGTTTGCTGAAAGAGCCGGGAATTGGATGGCGGATCGATATTATCGGATTTGCGGATGGCATGTGGTGGAGCTGCATGAATGCAAGGTTTCTGATGAAGGCGCTTTCTGCACAGAGAATCAGTCTCTCGTTGCAACATGTGCGTTAATGTGGCTGTCTTTATGCAGCAACATCTAGGTAAAGCTTTATTGAAAACCTGTGAGACGATCAATGTAAAGATTGCTGAAAAATCGACTCAAAATAGAAGCGTTTTTGTGTTAAAAACAGCCTTTCATTTCAGGAAGAAGCTCTATTTGTTTGCAAGGGTGTATGTCAGGTTATTGGGTCTCTACACGTGACTCCCCCTCCTCCCCCTCCTCCCTCTCTCCCCACTCCCTCTATAGCTGTTGCAAGCGTATTGATTATTTCAAATACTGATTATCTAAAAGGCCTTCTGCTACGGTAGGCATTGGATTTATTTTGGCTTAATTATTTATGGGCCAGGGCTAGCTGTAAGTATTACTGCTGCGAGATCATGAAGGATTACATTGTTAATATTCAGCAGTGTATTTTTATTTATGTACACTCTAAAGCTTTACTGGATGAGCGTTTGGCAGGCGCTCTAAAGTGCCGTCTCTCTCTCTCTCTCCTGTCTCACCCTCTCCTCTCTCTTTGGTGTGTTTTCAGAGGGAGCTAAACTCGGTGGCGTCTGAACTCGCCGGTCGACAAGAGGAGAGCGAACATTCCCACAAAAACCTGCTGGAGCTGAGCAGGGAGTTCAAGAGAAATGTCCCTGAGGTGAGTCTAAACACCCCCCCCCCCTTCACACACACACACACACACACACACACACACACACACACACACACACACACACACACACACACACACACACACACGCACACACACACACACACACACACATCCATTTTGTGCAATCCACGTGTCGTTTGTTCCTCATCTTCACTTCAGCAGGTACTGAGTGCTCGAGCCCCCGCATGAACCTTCATACAGGGAATAAATTATCTCTGTTGTCTGCATTAGTTCATATACTCTCACAGGTAGACTGAGACCAAGTGCATGTACTCTAAAGTACCTATTTTCTTCTACTTTACTTCATTTCAAAGAGAAATATTGTACTTTATACCTTCATACAGGGAATTATGTATCTCTTTTCTATATCTGCAGTTGTATATATACACTCAGTGGTTGTAACTAAGTATTAAAGTACACACTTTAAGGTGTGACACTTTATACTTCTACTCCACTACAATTTAAATGAAAATATTCTACTTTTTACCCCAGTAAATGTATTTGACAGCTTAAAATACTGTCTTCTATACTTAATAAAACACAAAACATATACAATATCATATTTTGTTGTAGATTAAACTATCCAACATTATATTTAAGTCCACTTAAAACAGTAATTCGTCACCACACACTGTTGTTACTAAGGAAGTACTTTAAGTGCTGTCCTTAAGTATTTTCTTTCTCCGGCTCTTTATACTTCTATTCCAGTACATTTTAAACTATCCAACATCATATTTAAGTCCACCTGAAACAATATTGGGTTACTAAACACTGTGTGGTTGTTACTTTAACTTCCACTTACCTTACAAATTAAACTTTTTACGCACAAAACGTGAAGAACTACATGTAGATTTTGACAAATTTTCACTTAGGTAAACCTTTATGCAGGGGATTATTCATCTACTTTATGACATCTGCATATACACTTAGGTGTGGACTGTTACTAAGTACATTTACTCAAGTACACCACTTAAGTACACGACTTTGAGGTACTCTTTCTAAGCAGCTCTATACTTCTACTCCACAACATCTCAAAGGGACATATTATTATTTGACAGCTAAAGTAACTGGATGGCCTGCCTGCCTGTGCACACACTTATCTCGTGCCCTCATTGGTCATGTGCGCGTTCGTGTGTGTTGGAGGAGGGGCTCTGTAAGGAAGTCTGAAGGAAGGGGCAGATTTCTTCCGGCTGTGTATTTTCAAATTCTAGCGCACTCGAGCTGGTTTCTCCAAAATGACATACCCCACCTTTAAGTACAAATGTTTGATGTACTATTTCTCTCTGCGCAGCTTTATACGTCCTTTTTATTGCATTTTGAAGAGAAATATTATGCCTTTTCTTCACTGCATTGATTTGAGAGCTAAAATAACTTTACAAATTAGGATCCTAACACAAAAACCATGTGAGGAACTTGTAAATGATGATGTTTTTATGTAAAAAATACCCAGCGTTACATTAAAGTCCACCTGAAACAACCTTTTGTACCTCATCTGCACTTCAGATGTACTGAGTCAGTGCCGCTGCTCCAGCCCCCGCATGAGGCATTATTTATCTCTGTTGTAACGTCTGCATCGAGAAGTCAGGGTTACCCCCCCCCCCCCCCCCCCGCCTCTTTCAGTTAATATTTACATGCTGTGGCCTTGCAGTAACGTTAGCTTCTGGCTGAAGAGAGGCCGGGGGGCACATTTACTAAAAAGTTCAGCACAACTTTTAACTCCAAGGCTCATATGGAGGTTTAGAAAAACATTATCTCAGCTGATATTGACTTTCTCCAAAAACCTGTCTCTGGAAATGAATGTGTTTATCTTATTAATGTTATTAAAGACACACGCACAGAAGAGATTGAAGTACAAAGACAAGAAAAGTGTACATTTTTTACTTTTAAGAGGGGTATTTCTGTTAATGAGGATGACGATTAAAATGTGTACTTACAGACTTATAGAAAAGTACTTTAGTTAAAGTCAAAGGTTTGCATGTTTTAGTCCTTGTTAAAAAAAATGCTCATTAGCCAATATTGACTAATTGATTGACTGACTGATTGATTGGCTGATTGATTGGCTGACTGATTGATTGGCTGATTGATTGGCTGACTGATTGATTGGCTGATTGATTGGCTGACTGATTGATTGGCTGATTGATTGATTGATTTAATGGTGGGTTGGTTCATTGATTTTCTTAATTTCGTGTCATGCAAACAAAGTGCCCTTCTATCATGGGTTAACAAGACACCAACAATACATTTTAAAGGTACACATTGTAAAACATCTCAGGTTATAAACTCCTTTCTGTATAAATGTTAACAAAACAGACTACAACACTATAGTGCATGTCCAAACCAATGCCAAATAAAAAAAGAAGTAACCTTTGTGTCTTAATTTTAACTTTAAAATATGTATTAATTATTATTTCTCTTAATATTTACATTTGGCCAATATCAGAGTGAGTGTAGTGAGTGATATGATATGGCAACAGCAACGTTGATTAATAAATAAAGAAGTAAGTAAATAAAAAAACAATCACGATTCTGTAAAATTACAGAAATGTAAATAGAAATCTATAAAAATAAATGAATTTTTATCTGTGTTTGTCATGTTTCCTGTGTGTCCATTATTGTGCTTTTATTTCATTTTCTAGTTATTGTTATAGTACGTTAACAAAGCTACCAAGACCTTATTCAACCTGCCTTTTGTTTGGTAAAAAAAAAAGCCAATTAAGGTGGATTTCAGTGAGCAGATGAAAAGCAAAATCTATGAATGATACAGACGAATGATTTTGTCTTCTTTGAAATGATCGTCCATTGACATGTAAGCCGGCGGAGTCAAAGAGAATATTTTTTATATTTTTAAAATGAGGCCCTGTGAGTGTGTCTGCGGTGTGAAGCTGTAATCTTGTCAGTATAATACAGGCGTTTAAGACGGGATCAGGCTGTCACCACTGGCAGCAAAATCCCTCTACCTGAGGCAGTCTGGATCTCTAAGGCTAGCTACTGGAAAGCTCCACTTTTCAAACATGCCCACTCAAACCCTTTAGGTCTAAACGCTAATGCCTACAACCATTCACACACTTAAAGGGCCCATGTCATGCTTTTCCGGTTATCACCCGTCCCCTTGTGTGTTATGAAGGTTTTTATGCATGTAAACGGTGTGCAGAGTCACAAACCGACAGACAGACAGACACAGACAGACAGACAGACACACAGACAGACAGACAGACACAGACAGACACACAGACACACAGACAGACAGACAGACACAGACAGACAGACACACATACAGACACACAGACACACAGACACACAGACAGACAGACAGACACAGACAGACACACAGACACACAGACAGACAGACAGACACAGACAGACACACAGACACACAGACAGACAGACAGACACAGACAGACATACACACATACAGACACACAGACACACAGACAGACAGACAGACAGACAGACACACACACAGACAGACACACAGACAGACAGACAGACAGACAGACAGACAGACGGACAGACACACACACAGACAGACACACAGACAGACAGACAGACAGACAGACAGACAGACAGACAGACGGACAGATAGACAGACAGGCAGATAGCGATGTTCATTAGCTAACATTCACTAGTTAGCATAGTCTTGCTAGCTAAATAGCTAACGTTTGCTAGCTATGCCAAAACAAGTATTTATTTACTTAGTTTTACAGTCCAAGCATTACTTATGTTATATTTTGAGTCTTTATTAAGTAATAGCATTGGATACTAGATTACCATTTGTTATACAGATGAAGCTTGTTTGTAATTGTTTGTTTGTTTTTCTCCCTTTTTCTTGTGACTTGTGAATCTTTAGTAACTCTGTATTGTGATGTATTTAAGGCTGTATTTTATGTTGATAAAATGTATAAAATATTGTGGGAAATAAGGTGCTATGCAGAGAATGAGTTAACTTCACAGTCCTCTTTCTTATGGAGCTGTGTTTCTCTTTGGGCTTGATCTAATTCCTGAACAGGTATGGAGCATCTGCAGAGCTGAAATGTGCTGAGCTTACTTTGTTCTGTTTACTCAGGAGGTCCGGGAGATGGTGGCACCTGTTCTCAAGAGTTTCCAGAACCAGGTGAGTCGCACGTCTTCTTGCAGATACATGCTGAGTGTCCACTAAGTGTTTGTTCTCCAGCAACGTTATTTATATTGTTCTCAATAAGGAGAACAGATTGCTGCAACTTTTTTACACGGACACTCTGAGCACTTCTTGTTGAAAATCTGTGAACTTTTCAGAAATGTGCTGTTCACATCCCTGAAGAAAATGAAGGACGTTATACTGCACACTAGGGCTGTGCGATTATGGCAAAAATCATAATCATGATTATTTTGGTCAATAATTGAAATCACGATTATTAAATACGATTATTCATTGACTTTGAAAACATCCATTTATTGAACTTTTAAATACAAATATTAATTTGAACAGTATCTCTTTAACTGTTGATTTCCCTGAATGTATAATTAAACTGAAAAACCAATACAAAAATAAATGATACATAAATAATATCAAAATAATAAATACCAATAAACAAGATCAACAAACAGTGGAGCGCACTTCAACAAGCTACTAAACATATATAAATATGATAAATACAAATACATTTGATCAAATATGTTGTAGTGCACTGTCACAACCTAGCAAAGCAAAATAATCGTTTTTTTCGATTATGTTGTTTTCGTAATTGTGGCAGGTCAAAATCGTAATTGCGATTAAAATACGATTAATTGCACAGCCCTAGTGTACATTCCCACGTTGATTTTGGGCTTTCCTAGAGTGTTTTTCTAACCTGCTGCAAGTATCTAAGGACAGAGGGTGGCGAGAAGATGTACAACTTAAAGCTTGTTTTGGGTCTTTCTGTCTTGAGCATTATACAGTATCATAAAAAAGACAGTAACGCTAATTTGTCGGAGCAAATCAAAAAGACGTCATGCTACATATTTTTTCTGCTTGTTACACAACACAGTCTCACGGCATTTCGTGTTATAGTCACAAAATTAATCTATTGATTCGTGTTCACCAACACGATTTCGCCATTTTTTTCGTGTCACACAGAACGATTTTAAAAGCAATGTAAATAATAACAAATTAGAAGGAAAAAGACATTTAAAAAAATACAGATTTAAGTATTCTGACACAGAACGATTTTAGAAGCAATGTATTTATATTGGTAGTATGTTTCGTGCCTGCACCAAATAATAACAAATTAGGAGGAAAAAAAGATGACATAAAATACAGATTTCAGTATTCTGAGGCTCTGAGACATTTATTTTCCTCACTGACGGCAAAAAAACTCAGACATTATACAATTTAAAATAAAAGGGATAGGGTTAGGCTTAGGGTAAGATATTGAGTAAGAACATGTTTTCATGAACCACACAGCTTCTGGTCTTCCAAGACCCGACCGGACAAAAAGACGTGTTGCAGGCACGAAACATACTACCAATAGAAATACATTGCATTTAAAATCGTTCTGTGTGACACGAAAAAAAGGTGAAAATCGTGTTGGTGAACACGAATCAATAGATTAAATTAATTTCGTGACTATAACACGAAATGGCGTGAGACTGGGTTGTGTTACAACATTTTCCAATCACTTATTTCAAGGCAAGATTGTCTGATATAACATAATTTACTCACATTTAAAGGTTTAAGGGCACAACGCTTGTTGCTAATGAGCAACGTACAGGCTCTTCATGCAAAGCAAAGCAACAAAAACAGTACATTTCATCAATTCATCAAACAACCAAAGCATGCCCTTTATAACCGCCAAATTCAATATGAACATGAGCGAGGAACAGGAGAAAAAAGACAGAAAATTAAAGATTTCTTCAGTTTTATGTAAATATTTTGGCTACAGAAAGGATGATATTGACCAAAGAAAACAACATGGTCGTCATCTGGGGAAAAATACCTGTAAACATTTGTCCATTAATGTTGAGCCTTGCTATATACACACCAATGTAAAGCTTTAGAAATTCTGCAGAATAAAACTAGTATATTTCTTTAAATGGCATTTTTATTGATGATTTCCTCAGTACTTCCCGCTCCATATTATCATTTATAAACAGCTGACCACCAGGAATGAAGGATTAGACAGAAACATGTCGAGGAATCCACAGAAAACTCTCCGTGTTGTACAGCTCATCGTGTGCGTATTGACTGATTCGCTTTCCGTCAAAGTGAAGTAGCATCTATCTGCCATTATGATCAGATATCTGGCTTCTCATATTTTCCTTCCTTGGAGAAACAAGCCCTCATTTCCTGTTGTGATGGTGCATTCACCGTGACGTCGCCATATTGAAAAAGTCATCTGATACCTCACCAAGACTCTGCTCCAGCCATTAAACCAAGGTCATAAATCACATTTGTGAGCTGCGCTATGGTCCGCCAAGCAAAAGGCTTATGGAAATGATACCACAAATATGTTTTCAGTCTCGCTCTCCCCTCTAAACTCCCAACCTGAAAGCCCCTATCATCGGTAAACATGAGAACACTCAGCATGGATTGTTCACTTCTGTTGGAAGTGATTATTGACAGATTCTTTATAATGCTTTGTAATTGACTGTGCACAAGAAACCCTGGCAGCAGATATCACACTCCTCGACTCCATGCTCAGATCTGTGTGCTAACTCAGTTACTCGCTAGTGTAAAGTCGCAGAAATATCGGAAGCACCCTTCATTGTGAAACAGGAACCCACAGGATTTAATCTAACCTTTGTGTTGTCTTCCCATCAACTGTGCGTCCTAGTTTCATGTTCTTACAGCAGATAAGTCGACTACAAATCTTCACCCAAATCTGTGTTTCACCTTTTAAGCCGACTTTATTCCATCTAATTAAGACAGGGTTTTACTTATCTTTGCCATTTAAGGTCAATAGACCCAATTAACACAAGTTAAACCACAAGAAAATTCACAAAAAAGTAAAGATTAGAGGAACATATCTTGATGGTTTGATGTTTAGTTGCTGCTTTTCCTCCACTACATGTATTAATACCTTTAGTTACTTCACAGATCTGGATGAATGATGTGAAATATAACCAAGTGTTAAATCAGACTTTAGTTCCACCTGGAGTAAATCCACAAGCTACCCTGCAGTATACAAAGTCATTCAAACTAGCTGCACCTTTACCAGCTTTGAGAACACTTTCATGATCAATCATTATAAAACATATCATATATATTATTCTGAAATGGACCAATCTGCACAATGACTACTTTTACTGTCGCTACTTTCACTATATTTTGATGAGAATACTTTTATACTTTTACTTGAGGAACATTTTGAATGCAGTACTTTTACTGTAACAGAGTATTCCTACACTCTGGTACTTCTACTTTTACTCAAGTACAAGATCTGAGTACTTCTACTTTTACTCAAGTACAAGACCTGAGTACTTCTACTTTTACTCAAGTACACGATCTGAGTACTTCTACTTTAACTCAAGTACAAGATCTGGGTACTTCTACTTTTACTCAAGTACAAGATCTGGGTACTTCTACTTTTACTCAAGTACAAGACCTGAGTACTTCTACTTTTACTGTAACAGAGTATTCCTACACTCTGGTACTTCTACTTTTACTCAAGTACAAGATCTGAGTACTTCTACTTTAACTCAAGTACAAGATCTGGGTACTTCTACTTTTACTCAAGTACAAGACCTGAGTACTTCTACTTTTACTCAAGTACAAGATCTGAGTACTTCTACTTTTGCTGAAGTACAAGATCTGAGTACTTCTACTTTTGCTGAAGTACAAGATCTGAGTACTTTTACCTTTATTCACTAGTTATCGACCACAACTTAAAAAGTGAGCGTAAAGCATGAGAAAACCCCATTTGGTCAAAGGTATATATTCGGTCTACAGAATGACCAAAAGCAGCCTCTCTCCCCGTCTTCATCTCTTAAACAAAACATTTTTGCATGGTCAGTTGTTACCCAGCATTGTGCAGCCTTTTTCTAATTGACTGCGTGGAGACGTCCCGCTCCTCGACAGCACGCTCAGATTCATGAGCTAATTCAATTACTCCCAGTGTAAAGTCGCAGAGATATCACAAGCACCCTTGCCTTTACTTCATTGTGCAAACAGGAGCCCACAGGATTAATTTAAGCACCATTGATGTCTGACGACTGGGAGTCTGGAGATGTTTCACAGTAGATAAAATAGATGGCTGATAATGAGCGATGATTTCTCCTCCTCCTTGTTAGCTGCGGGCCTCTCTGGTACCTCTCGGTCTCTCTTGTGTAACTTCCACAAGCTGATGATAATAAGTCAAACCAGCTCACGGTGGAAAAAGCCTCCGTGGTTTTTTTATTGTCAGATCTCGAGGTGCAACTCCATAATAATATAATCCTCTGGTGTTTTCTGATACACTTTGACCTTATTGGTAATGTCAAACAGCTTGAGGAGGCTGGTGAACTTTACCCAGAGAGCACTGCACGACCTGGGAGTAAAGAGAGGGACCAGACCTGCTGCTGGAGGGAGGAAGAGGAGGGGGGAGGGAGAGGAGGAGAGGAAGAGGAGGAGCTGGTGTGTTTTTGCCGGTCTTGAGGAAGCATTCAGATCCTTTCCTTAAGTACTAAACCCACTGTTGAACTACTCCGTGACAAGTGAAAATAGCAAATGAGTATAATCAGAGAAATGTAGTTGAACGTGAAAGCACACTAATGCAAAACATACATTATACAATTAATTAGTTATCTATCTTAATTAGAAATTAATCCACCAGGTTGTTCCTGTATTAATTCTTTGCTAGTTTAATTTAACTGAGGCTGTCATATACACTTAGTAAAGTATAATATTTCCCCTTAGATGTTCCGTGGAGTTAAGCTAAGATAAGATAAGACGGACCTTTATTGATCCCTGTAGGGAAACTCAGGTGTTACTGAATAACAGAATAATACAGAAACACAGATACCTGGAATAACAAGTATACGTGTAATCAAGATGAATAGAAACAACTGTTAAACTCTGACCAGGTGTACGTACATACTGCATATACATATAAGTTGAAGTATAAAGAAAATACTCAAGTACAAGTACCTCAAATGTGTAGTACTTAGTGTACTTAGTTA